CCAAGAAGCTCACTGGGTATTTTTAGGCCAGCCACTGCCTCTCTCGGCTTAACCTACCTCACAGGGTTATTGTGGGATTCAGTGAGGAGGGAGAAAACCATTGAGCTCCTTGGAGACAAAGGTGGGGATATAAATGCAATCAAATAATAATGATAACAACAACAACAACAACAACAACAACAAGCCTCTGTGGTCATGTGATGTCAAAGAATAACTCAAGTTCAGTATAGACTTACATTATAATTGTTTTGAATTTCAGATTTAACATCCTATACACACAGAGAGAGCCTTTATCTTTTCAAAGTTCCCTGAAGAATTTGGTTCAGTGCCAAATGGGTCAGAACTAGCATTCGTTCTCTGTAGCCAATAGGAAGGTGCTATTCTGCTCCAAGGCAGGCAAGTCGCCTATCAGAATTGGGACGCAAAGCATGTATTTGACAAAGCGCAAACCAGAACAGAGATGAACCAAATATCCTGGAGGCTTTCTCCTGACTTAAGTGAGAGGCTAGGATTCTGCATAGTAATAAAACTACCGATGACTAATATATGACTGATTCAAAACTTGAATCTGTCTGGTCATAGGCAGAAGATTTATGCCGAACTGCTGTTGTTTGTTACATTCATTTTCCTTTAAATTGAGAGTTTCTGGCATGAGAGATCCTCTGGGAAATGTGTAGCCATATCCAGATTAACACAGTAAACTCGCAGCACAAACCCGGCTTTGCAATTTAGCATTATTGCAGACATAGCCAATTAACTGGAAGGTCCAGAGCAATCAAACTGTCTGAAATCTTTATGGCTGCTTTGGCCCAGTGTAGGTTTGCAGCCTCTAAATTCAGCAGGGCAGAGAAAGAGTGAAGAAAGACAGTCGGCTAAATTAAGAGCATATGCTAACTTTACGACAAAAGCTGTGGAACAGGGCCAGCCCTGCTATCAGACAAAATAAGGGATTGGCCAGAGAGTTGCACAAGGCCTATCTACAGCAATGCTTGCATCTGTTTTGTACCAGCTTTATGGTATTAACCCCTGACAAATAATCCTACAGTTCTATATATCCGTGGGATTGCTAAGGAGTGTTGAAATATCTATCCCTCCTCACAGAATTTTGGCTTCCAGGGCTCCCTCTTGGGAGTCAAGGAATGACTATTAACATAGTTTAAGCCCATAGTGTAGAGTGGGTGGAAAACTGAATTACTAGAGAAAGAGATGGCAGATCAAGGCCCTGGAGGGAGGTGCCAACCATCTATGGTCAACTCTTCTGTGAAGTTTGTTGTTAAGTCAAGAAGACAACTCTACACCTGTAACCTCTGCACCAACATGTAGTCCATGGAAATTAATCAGCTCAGAATTCTTCTGTGCTTACCTAAATGTTGCTTGCTAATACGGGTGGGAGAAAAGTCTGTTTTATTCACATTTCTAAGCAAACTGATTGGGAAAGATTGAGGGCACAAGGAGAAGGGGATGACAGAGGACAAGATGGTTGGACAGTGTTCTTGAAGCTACCAGCATGAGTTTGACCAAACTGTGGGAGGCAGTGGAAGGCAGGAGTGCCTGGCGTGCTCTGGTCCATGGGGTCACAAAGAGTTGGACACGACTAAACGACTAAACAACAACAACAAAGCAAACTGACTCAATTCACATTTCCCAGGCTGATTACATGAGGTGAAATGTACTCTATTGGCCTTAATATAAGCCTCACTCCCCCACTCCCCCAAATTCCTACCGTGAAAAGTTAAAGTGCAGCTTAAATTCGTGACCTTACAAATCTTGGCTTTTCCGATATCGCTGCTGAAACAGTCATATGGTAAAGTGGAACGGGTGTGAGTGCCTGCAGAATTTTAAGAGTGGCTTATATTCAGGTACTGTCTTTTTCTCCCCCCCCCCCCCGAATTTTAAAGGTACGGCTTATATTCGGGCTAATACAGTAATTGCCCTTCGGATCTCGCATTTCTCTGAATTTTGCAATTCTGTTCTCAGCTCAAAAAAAAAATAAATACCAAAATGCATTTAGATCTGTATTTTAGGATAAAATGCATTTTAATATACATTTTAATGACATATGGATGCCCCCCACAGGTTAATATGGAAGAAGGATGAACTTCTTTACACTGTGCATAGTGGAATTTCATGCCGTAGGATTTAGTGATGGACACTAACTTTTATGAGATTTGACACTGACATTAATGATGATCATTAACTTGGGTTCCTTGGTTTCAGTGGGTCTGCTCTGGGTACATCTTACTTGGATACAACCCCCAAGTCCTTTGAGTAACAGTTGAAAGAGCTGCATATATTTATCTTGGAGAATAATAAAGGCGATATTTGATAGGAGTCTTCAAATATCTGAAGAGCTATCACAGAGAAGATGGAACAGTTGTTGTTGTTGTTGCTGCTGCTGCTGCTGTTGTTGTTGTTATTTTCTGATCCTGAGCCTAGAACAAATTGGTAGGAATTTTAGGGAAGGAGATTCTGCTAAGCGATAGGCCAATACATGCCCATCTTTAATATAGCCTACAAAAGTGATGTCTTCAGTTCCAAAACATGATTTGCAGACCTCGCATTCCTTGTAAAAATGCAAGTGCACTTTAAGTGTAGCAGTTCAAAGAACCTTGTCAGCTTGACTCTCCTAGTACTGTGCTGGCAAGCAATGCATCTTTCGCACAGCAATAGTGGAGTGCCAGTTCCATGGTTGCTAGGTAGCTGTGCAGCTTAAGGACCCGGAAGGGAAGACAAGTGCTGCAAATTAGTGGCATCCAATCAACAGTCAATCAGCATAAGGTCCATTACTTCTCATTACGCTATTTTACCATTACTTACTTTCCATTAGATCAGACAGGGAAGCTAGGAAGAGAATTGGCTGAAAGGGGCCAATTGAATTAGCGCGTTTTAGAGCCAATCCTATTCTCATCTTGTGTATAATTATGCAATCTAAATCGGAAATATGAACACAATTTGCAATTCATACTGGCAAGACATTTGTAACTTTATGCTGGCTGGGCAGGAATGTATTCTCAACACAAGTGGGTGAAGAGAGAAGATTGGTACTCTGCGTGAAGCAATAGTAATGCTCACTACGTGGAGCCATGGAGTTTTAGAATCTGTAGGGATATCATATTTGCCAGCAGATCTGTTATGAGTGAGAGAGATGAGGGACTTTGGTACTGAGAGCTCCATAGCAAATACTTTAGGGAGGGCAACAGCTAATGTGAACAGTCTTCTTGCACGTAATGAAATATCATGCATTCATCCGCTTCGCGAATGCCATGGAATGTTAACTTACATTTGGTAGACATGCCGCTTACTTGTTATACAGTATTTCTGCAACTGTAGATTGCTGTAGCGGCTCTGAGGCTCAGTCTAACACAAGGAAGTAATATTAACTAATGCTACCCACAGCTTTGCTTCTCCCCCCTTCCCCGAATTTATCTTCATGAAAAGCCATTGCATTTAGCCAAACGTAGTAGAAACATTCCATTATCCCACCCTACCCCTGCCCACAGGAACATTACAGCAAAAAAAAAAAACCCACACCTCCCCATCTCATTCAAATAGATACAGTGGTACCTTGGTTTAAGTACAGCTTAGTTTATGAACAACTTGGGTTAAGAACGCTGCAAACCCAGAAGTAGGTGTTTTGGTTTGTGAACTTTGCCTTGGAATAAGAACATGTTTTGCTTCCTGTTGCATGTGTTCCATTTGCAAATTGAGTCCCCCGCTGCTATGGGAAAGCACACCTTGGTTTAAGAATGCTTTGGTTTAAGAACGGACTTCCGGAACGGATTAAGTTCGTAAACCAAGATACTACTGTAAATGTATGGCACTTCCTCTTCTGTTGAAGTGAATGGTAGGAGAATGTTAGCCGCTTTGAGACTCCTTAGGGTAGTGATAAAGCGGGATATCAAATCCAAACTCTTCTTCTTCTTCCAAACTCTTCTTATATTGTCCAATGGGGCAGCATGTTATTTCTGTCATGCTGAATATTCCAAGCTTAGATTAGTTTAGCCAAACCCAATGCAGCTTAATCAACTCATCATCATCTTCAGTTCCCTTTTTGCCGAGAGTACAAATTTCCATTTGTGTTCCAGTTCTCATTTTCTCTTCGCGTTTTCACTCAGGAAAGAGAACTGGATGCCTTTATTAATCTCAAAACAACTGCATTATAAATAAGAGGCATTGCCTAAAAGAAGCCGAGAAGCCATATGCAGGCTTCCGTGCATTTTAATATTATTCACAAGGAGGCAGAATTAAAGCAGTATAAATGACAGGCAATTTATCACCATATATCCATTTGTGTCACGAAGATGACAGTTCCATTCTTACAGGAATAGGAATATATCAGGCCTTAACTACGTCTTTATATCTTCATTTATTGATAATCTCCTTCTAGAAATCAAGAGTAATTGTACTCTCTGCTCCCATGTTATTCTTAGCATAATTAACTTTGCACAGATCCCCATTTTCACTGCAGCATTAACTCAGACTAATAGGAAGCTGTTTGTAGACATGGTACTTGGAGAGAAACACACACACACACACACACACACACACACACAGTTGAGAGAGATGGCATTCAATACAGCTTTCTTAGCATTCATCCCAGCCACATGGGGACCGCAAGTGCCACAGGTGGGTGCTATTTCAAATTTTCCTGATACAAAGCATCTCCTCCTAATTCTTCCTAACCATCAACCCATAACACCCTCTGGTGGCAGATTCATTGTGCAAGATGTATGTCGAACTTGATAGAGTTGCCCAGATTCAGACACTTAAACAGGAAGGGATTGCCTCTGCATGGTAGAGGAGAAGATCCATGCCTCTCTAAACACATGCACATAATATAATGTGCAACTAAAATGCACATGAATTTTGTGCATCCATTCCTCCAGGTGGGGAGTCTGCATCCCATCTTACATTAGATCATGGGTAGCCAACATAGAGCCTTCCAGATGTTGCTGGGCAGCTATCATCGCCAGGCAAGAAGGAAGTTGGAGGTCAGCAACATCTGGGATAGCTCAGTTGTTAGAGCATGGGACTGTTAATCTCAGGGTTGTAGGTTCAAGTCCCACCTTGGGGGGAACCTGCATTGCAGGGAGTTGGACTAGATCGTTATTTCCCAAACTTGGGTCTCCAGCTATTTTTGGACTACAACTCTCATCATCCCTAGTTAGCAGGACCAGTGGTCAGGAATGATGGGATCTATAATCCAAAAACTGCTGGAGACCCAAGTTGGGGAAACACTAGAATAGATGGTGCCTTCCAAATCGACAATTCTACTATATCCGGAGGTCAACATGTTGGCCAGCCCCTGCTTTAGATGCACAGAAGGGCTAAATATCCACTTCCCTACTTGCTGCTGAGCAAGTGACTAAACAAGGCATATGATAACATGGGACGTTTTTGAAGAGGGGGGAGGAACCAAGAGATCTTCCAGAAAAATGTTCTGAACACCTGACTTTCATCACGTTCTGACTGTACTTCCCAAAGCTGCTGTACATTTTTCATTCTTAAGTCGTGTGCATGTGCGCTTCCTTCTTTGTCTTTTGAAAATGCATGCATTATCACAATTATTTTCCACCATTGGGGAGGACACAAGGGGAAGTGGGGGTGCCTATGTTAGTGTGGTGGTGTACCAGATTATGGGTTGCATCCAACTAAGTTTTAAGCAGAGTAGAGCCATTTAAATTAATGGACCTACATCAGCCAATGTTTATTATTTGCAGTGAGTCTACTCTTGATACAACCCTAAATATAATAAAAGGAAGGGTCAAGAAAGTGGAACCTTTGGGGAAATGTTTAAAGCCTATGATAAACAGCACATCTGAAAAACTACCTGTAAATAGTGACTACTATTTTAGGAGTTACCGGAGTCCACCCAATGCTTCTTCTGATTCTTTTTGCAAAACAGAGTTCTTCTTTGCCATAACAAAATGCATTTTTTCCCCTGAAAAAGAAACAACTATACATAATGTTTAAATTTAAACTGCTGGTTTATAGTCAGTAGTGTTTGTTTGTTTGTTTGTATGTGTGTGTGTGTGTGTGTGTGTGTGCATGCGTGTGGTTTGTTTTTTTAAGCTCTTTTCATTTTTAACTGCCAAAAAAAAAATATGTCCATGTAAAATGTCTTAATCATTTCTATGCCTCATGAGATTCAAACAGTAAATGCCACATACAAATTTAGAACACCGCCAGCTCTTGCGCTGGTTCAATGGCTTGATCTTAATATAAACCATTCCTATGTTCCAATTTATGCCTACTGAGTCACCTTTAAAAAAATACCATACGATGTATTTAGTGCAAGGATGGTGCAAATGTGGCATGGAGTAGGTGGCTCCAAAATGCAATTTAAATAAGGACGCATATTCCTTATATTTCATCAGAAGCCTTACCTAAAACTTTTACGTGGATTGTCCTTTGGCGAAATCTTGTGAGAGTAATTTCACTAGTCTTGAGATTCCTAAGATGTTTTTGCCTCCAACCTTTTCGCTGAACTTGAATTTATTTCTCCTTTTGGAATAAGGATGAGCTGTTGGAATCCAACTCACTTCGGATCTAGCCATCATAGCCTATGGTTAAGGATGATGGGAGCTGCAGTTCAACCACACCTGGAGGGTTATAGCCTTGCCTACTCCTCCTTTAGATGAAACACTGAGGGGCATAACGGAGCCCTCAAGGAAGGACCTGTGACCTGTCCAGTGGAAAAGGGTTGTTGCAAAGAATCAAAGTTCCCTAATGAACACTGGTCTGCAACTGCCAAGGGTTCATGGCTTTCCCTTAATATCCTACAATAGGCACTTTAATATGGAGGTTTGGCGGGACTGATGGATCAGCCCCAAGCTCTGCATCCTGTTTTCCACATTGGTGGCTAACCACAAGCAAAATCCTCTCCCATTGTTGTTTTCCAGAAACTGGCATTGTGGAATTGATCTTGGAGATTTATCTAACCACCCCCCCCATTTAAGTCCTTCCAAATTGGCAGCCACCAGTACATATTGTGGCAGCAAATTTAATGGTTTGTGTGCTCTGCAAATGAATGCTTTTTTCTGTCCAATCCATAGAAGCCAACTCTTAGGAGCCACAAGGATTTGGCCCCCACAATAAAATATTTGAGGGGGCCACCCCCCCAAGTTGATTTGGTATTGGCATTCAAATGGTGTATGTGCCTTGTTGTGGTGAAGAGGCTTGAATAACTCAGAGAAGCTATGAGCTATGCTGTGCAGGGCCACCCAAGATGGACAGGTCATAGTGGAGAGTTTTGACCAAATGTGATCCACCTGGAGCAGGAACTGGCAAGCCACTCCAGTATCCCTGCCAAGAAAACTCCATGGACAAAAACAATAGGTATATAAAAGTTATAGAAGATGAGCCCCTCAGGTTGAAAGGCGTCCAACATGCTACTGAGGAAGAGCGGAGGACAAGTACAAGTAGATTCAGAGTTGATGAAGCGGCTGGGCCAAAGCTGAAAGGTTGCTCAGCTGCGGATGTGCCTGGAAGCGAAAGGTAAGTTCAATGCTGTAAAGAAAGCTAGAGAGTTCCAGAAAAACATCTCTATGTGGGACAAGAAGCTACAGTTAGAACTGGATATGGAATAACTGATTGGTTCAAAATTAGGAAATCCTGTATATTGTCTCCCTGCTTATTTAACTTGTATGCAGAATTCATCATGCGAAAGGCTGGACTGGATGAATCGGAAGCCGGAATTAAGATTGCCAGAAGAACTATCAACAACCTCAGATATGCAGATGACACAACCCTGATGGCAGAAAGTGAGGAGGAATCAAAGAACCTTGTCCCATCACCTTCTGGCAAATATAAGGGGAAGAAATGCAGTGAGAGATTTTACTTTCTTGGGCTCCATGATCACTGCAGATGGTGACAGCAGTCACAAAATTAAAAGACGCCTGCTTCTTGGGAGAAAAGCAATGACAAACCTAGACAGCATCTTAAAAAGCAGAGACATCACCTTGCCAACAAAGGTCTGTATAGTTAAAGCTATGGTTTTCCCAGTAGTGATGTATGGAAGTGAGAGCTGGACCATAAAGAAGGCTGATCGCTGAAGAATTTATGCTTTTGAATTATGGTGCTGGAGGAGACTCTTGAGAGTCCCATGGACTGCAAGAAGATCAAACCTATCCATTCTGAAGGAAATCAGCCCTGAGTGTTCACTGGAAGGACAGATCTTGAAACTGAGGCTCCAATACTTTGGCCATCTCGTGAGGAGGAAGAGAAGACTCCCTGGAAAAGACCCTGATGTTGGGAAAGATTGAGGGCACAAGCAGAAGGGGTGACAGAGGATGAGATGGTTGGACAGTGTTCTCGAAGCTACCAGCATGAGTTTGACCAAACTGCGGGAGGCAGTGGAAGATAGGAGTGCCTGGCGTGCTCTGGTCCATGGGGTCACAAAGAGTTGGACATGACTAAACGACTAAACAACAATAAATGTGCACCATGTCATATGATTGATTATGTAGTGTGGGGCTTACCTGGGCCCCCACGATATTTTACTCAAGTTGGCACCCCTGGTCCAATCTGAATCTCCCACCAATCTGAATCCGCAAATATGAATCTGACACTGTGCTACTTTCTTCTGTTTTCATTGTTCTTTGCTGTAAGTCTGTAAGTCTAGGGAGGCATCATATAAATGTTTCAAATCACAAATGAACGAATAGCATTCCAATACCAGCACTTCCTCCACTGTAAGCGTGTACAGCCCTGCACCCTAAATCCTACAATTACCGTATTTTTCGCCCTATAGGACGCACTGGCCCATAGGACGCACCTATATTTGGGGGGGGAATAAAGGGGGGGAATTATTCCCCCCCAGGCATGGGGCTGGGGCGGGGGAAGCCCGAGCTTCCCCCGTCCCCAGCCCCCAGAACGGGACCCAGAGCGATGCCGAAGCTGCGTGCAGCTTTATCATCGCTCTGGGAGCTTGCGGGGCTGGGGGAAGGGGAAGCCCTCCGCCAGCCTCCAAACCAGGTCGGGAGACAGCGGGATGGTGCGCTGCGCCTCCCCACTGTCCCCCGAGTTTGCGGGGCTGGCGACGGGGAGGAGCAGGCTTCTCCCCCCCGCCAGCCTTCTAACCAAGTCGGGGGGCAGCGGGTGGGGGGCGTGCCGCCGCCCCGCGGTCCCCCGAGGTTGTGGGGCTGGGGGTGGGGCTCTCCTGACGCCGGGAGAGCGCGGGGGGTCGGGGCGCCCCGACCCCTCTCCCTCTCCAGGCTTCAGCAAAAGCCTGCATTCACCCCATAGGACGCACACACATTTCCCCTTCATTTTTGGAGGGGAAAAAGTGCATCCTATAGGGCGAAAAATACGGTAATCTTCACAGAAATGCTGTAGTGGAGATCTTTGCACTTATGTAGGCAGGGCTGCTGTGCTTTGAGGTCAGCGCCAATAAAAATGGCAAGCAGAAGTCCAGCAGGTGAATTTCTTCCCTGCATACAGAAGTGTGCATTGATTGGTGGGTGGGGGACTTAAGCTTCTGGATTTCTTCCCGTCCTGCGGCTGGGAAACACACAAGAGCTCTGCCAGAAGAAAATGGAGGCAAGGAGGTAGAAACAAAGCTTTTGGTTCTAATTATGCTTATGAAAACGATATTTGAGCAGAGCTAAACAGAGGCAGCATGAGGTTACACAGATTAGTGGATCCCATGGCTGAAGCATCCAGCCTTTCTTTCTACCATTTCCCCTGGCATTTGATGGATTTAATGTGAGCATGTATAATGTGCTGTCACTCTGAGCACTCACCAATTAATGTGAAGGTGCAGCTCTCCACTACAGAAGGGCAATTCTGTTTCCCTCAAATGGCCTCCCCCCCTTCCTCCTCCCAATTTCCCCACCAATAAACATCATCAGGTTTGTTTCTCAACTGCAAACACAGTAGCTTTGTAGCAAAAAGGGCACCTCAATGGTACACAAACTACGGTGGGGAGGAAACATTTGAGACTAAGTTACCATCAGGGCCGTCTTTACCCAGGGGTGCAAGGGGTGCGGGGAACCCGGGCACCTAATTCTGTGGGCGCCAGGAACCCGCCACTGAAGCCACTTAAGCTCTTAACTATCTACCTGTTACGAAATA